CTTGAGCTAAATGAATAAGGGTTATTTTGTTATAAAGTCTATCGAGAACGTGGTCTACATTGTTAGCAAATTCTCAGTTCCTAGTCAAAAACTGCAACGAGCACTATTTTCCAAAGTGCAAAGGACCAAAGTTCCATGTGTCGCATACAGTAATTTTGTGTATACAAATTAAGATTTCTTATTTTTGTCAAAATTTTGCACTCACACTCTTTTTTAAGAAGATCAACTTCATCCAGAAGTGTATTTAGAGCTACCTTGTTGTAATAGGAGCGGCGGGGCTGCATTCCGCCACCCGGCCGCCTGCACGGCTAGCTTATGCCCCGAAATAATTAAACGGAAACTGTATTCTTTTAAACACTGTCTGGCCCATTAGTTCCAGCCTCTTATTGGCTAGCTCTTACATACTGATCTAACCCATTTCTAATATTCTGTGTAGCCCACGAGGTGGCTTACCAGGGAAGATCTTAACCTGCATCTGTGTCGGGTGGGAGAATCATGGCGACTCTCTGACTCGGCTTCTTTCTCCCAGCATTTTGTTTTGTCTACTCTGTCTACCTAATTTTCTCTCCTATTAAAGGGCCAAGGCAGTTTCTTTATTTAACCAATGAAATTAACACAAAACAGAAGACTCTCCCCCATCACTACCTTTCCATCAGCTGTAATAAAAATCATTTTGAAAACAGAATGCCTTACATTGCAAATCCACTAATGTATTTTAAATATATAAACTAAGTTTTGATTAGAATCAGGACACTGCCATGGTAGAGTAACAACCAGATCCTACCCATGAGCCTTCAGTCTGCTCCCCATCTCTAGAAACTGCTGGATCAAGATGCCTGCTCTCTTCCTTGTCTTCAGCACTTCTTGCTGTCCTACTTTCAAATCTTCTTGTTCTTTCTATTTCCATTTACCCATGTTCTTACTTTTCCTTTGTGTTTTCTTTTCCTAAACTAAATCGCTCCCAGAAAAGACATCCTGAATAATTATTTATACATAACAGTTATACCAAAGAAGTATAAAAGACACTTTTTAATTAATTCAGAGCACATTTTGATCTACATATTTTCACTTTTGTACATTTTAATTAAATTATGATTATATCATTTCCCTCTTATTTTTCTTCTCTCTGCCTATCCCAAGTCCCCTCCTTCCAACTCCTTCCTTGTCTATATTTTAAAAGCTTGAAAGCATAAAAATTAACCTTTGAAGATCAAGGCCATATTAATTCAGATAATTTCCAAAATACTTTTCCAAGGATGGCAAGAGGGAGCAGATGGTGTTAAGATGCACGATTTTCCATTGCTGGACCATTTGAACTCCTCAGATGGACAATACTTTGATAAATTCAAATGCAAAACTTAGTCTTTCTGAATATGTCACAAAGCTCGAATACAGAGAAATAAATGTAATTTAACAACTCCGTATACATAAACCTAACTCCCTTAGTTAATATCCATAACAGTAGACATGCTTACTGTCAACTGGCAGATGTTGAACTTCTTTGCTTGTGAGTTGCTCTTCCATCTTCGCCAGGATATTGTCTATTTTTGTGGTATCAGCCTTTCCTCCTTAAGAAAGACAAGACAAATATTTTTTACACAATCCATAATGGTGTGCATACATGACATATAATGTTTGGGCACACACATTCTATTTCTAAACATTTGTTTCCTGGTTTCAAAGTACAAAGCAAGGCTGTCCAATGAAATGCTTTTCAAAGTTGATACAATATAAATATTAAAGTCATACAGAGGACCAGATATCATTAATCCTCTTCAAGATCATAGTTATACCTGACAAGACTAATCCAAAGTTTTAAAATGTAAAATTTGTAATTATCTACCAATAAATTACATCATTAAGAAAATAATTCAATTATTTTGGTTACTGGTTATAAACTAAACTAGAAATGGTATTTATCCCCTTTAAGGCAATCAGTTTTTCCAGAGTTCCAATTAGATATTCAGCTACTAAAATAATTTGATTATTGAGGTTTTATAAAGTTAGCATTTCTATGCAGGTCTAAAACATGAAAGCCAGAGTAAATATATGATTTAGAAATAGATTTAAAAGGGATCTTAGATGATGTTCAATGCTACAGTTGCAGATTCTCTGCTGTAGAAGAAACTCAGTATCAGTGGATATAAATTATTCACCCGTCAATAAAATAGTTATAATTTTATAACTTAAAATAGTATGAACAAAAGAAAGAAACCCAAAGTCAAATTTTTGGTGCACAACATATAAAAAAATATATACTGAAGGATAAACATTGTTACTTTTTACTTTGACTTTTAAGTCTGGGTGGTCTTCTTTTTCCCTTTTTATTTCCTCTATATATTGTCCAAGTTTATATAATGTTAATATGCATGTTTGTAATCACAGATAACATTCAATTATTAAACGGTATGACAACAGCTTAAGATTTTCATTTCACACCTATGACTCACTTTTAAGAGTCTTGATGATGTCCATCAGCTGAAGCTGACTTATCTTCCCATCATCTGTGAGAAAAAATACAAGGACTTAACAAACTCAGTAATAATCCTGGATTCAGACCAAAAGCACTGTAACTTCTAAAAGGTAGTGTAAAAAGAAAATCTGCAAAATTTGATTTTCCGTTACTTACTAAGCCATCTCACTGGCTCCTTACTTAGCAACCTTTAAGTATATAATTCACTGTTACTCACTGTGGTTGCCATGAAGTATGGCAGATCTCCTGAATTAGTTTTCTTGTCAAATTGAAATTTATTTTTAGAGTTTATCAGAACAGTACATGTTGAGCATATTGATAACTATTATTTGTCCACTGTGGGATAATGCTCTTGTATACTGTACAGATTTGTTACTTGTATTAGTTTAACGATTGGCCAGTAGCCAAGCAGGAAGTATATGAGGGGCAACCAGACTAGAAGAACTCCAGGAAGAGGAAAAGCAGAGAGTCACATGCATAGAGGAAGCAAGATGAGAATGCCTTACTGAGAAAAGGTACCAAGCCATGTGGCTAAATATAGACAAGAATTATGGGTTAATTTAAGTTGTAAGAGCTAGGTAATAATAAGCCTGAGCTAAAAGGCCAAACAGTTTATAATTAATATAAGCCTCTGTGTGTCTCTTTGGGACTGAACAGCTGCAGGACTGGGTGGGACAGAACTATCTGTTAACAATTGTCTATATCTATCCACAAGATTAACTTATTTTTAGCTTAAATAACCCCCTTTTGGCTTTTTTGTGTTGATTTTGGATTATTTTTTTTAATGATTTATTTAACTTTATGTTCATTGGTGTGAAGGTGTCAGATCTCGTGGAACTGCCTTTTCAGACAGTTGTGAGCTGTCATGTGGGTGCTGGGAATTGAACCTGGGTCCTCTGGAAGAGCAGTCAGTGCTCTTAACCGCTGAGCCATCTCTCCAGCACTCCCCCCCTTTTGTTGAAAGTAACTTTTTTCATACAGTATATTCTAATCACTGTTTTCTTCCTTCATCTCCTCTCAGATCTTCCACACCTACCCACTGATCCAACTCCTGCTTTCTTTCTTTCTCGCTTTAGAAAACAAACAGGCCAATTAACAAACAATCCCAAATAAAACAAAATGAACACACAAACATAGAAAAGGCAAAGAAAGAAAATGCAGAAGAAACACATACATGTACATATACACACACGAGAATTTCACATATAAGTGAACTCTGGTGGTATTGTTTTTCTGTGCCTGTTTTTTTTTTTTTTATCATTTTGCATGCTCCCCTTCAGGTCTACTGTGTTATTGCAAATCACAGAATGTATTCCTTTTCAAAGGTTGAATATAGAATCCTATATTTATCTATTTGTTCATTATAGACACTTAGGTGAATATAGTGTCGATATTTTCATGGATTCTGACTCTGACAAGCATGTGAAAATGTACTTAGAATTTAAGATAGCTACTAAATCACATTCTATAGTCCTTGGTCCAGTAACTTTTAGGATACAGTGGTCAAGACATGATGCCATTCACAACCAAGAAAATCTTTGGCAGCTCTCCCTACACTATGATCTGCAGGATGAAGTACAGACCCTCTAAGATATAGCTTTACCTTCTTCAAGCCCTAACTTCCTAAAATAAACAAGCAAAAAAAATCCTCATTTGATTCAATCACTTACAGTTACCTGGAAGTGATCATTATTTCCCTCTACCTCCCATTCCCTCCCATCATTCCAAAAGAATATTGGGGCACTTTTTAAATTTTACTATGTAATTTTCTTCATATTTGCAACCTGCTTCCAAGTAAATTATACATTATTTGCTAGTAGGAATAAATTTATTTCTTCTTTGTATTCCTTGTACCTAGTATAACTCCTACCATATCTATGTAATTAATAAACAAAGTAAAAATAAATCACAAGAATTAGAAATACTTCTTTTACACTTGTACTCTGACATTGCTAGTTTACAGATAATTAATATTTATTATAGACTGTTACTGTTTTACTCTTGAAATAATTATAAAATAATTAGATTGCTACCCAGCATGTACTAGGAATATTTCCTTTACTACTGTGATTATTTAACCCAAATATTTTAAGTCATAAATTCTATAGCTGTTCTTAGTAACTCACAAACAAAGCTTCTATGGACCGTGTCTTCTTGTTTTCTATTTCTCTGCCTATCTATCTCTATGCCCTCCCTGCCTTCTTTTCTCTGCTTGTGTTAGGCTTCCTAATGACTCAATGATGTTTCTGAGTTAGTGTGTAACATTTAGAGTTCAAGTATTTTCTGCTTAATAATCTTATTATTTATTTAAATGTCCAAATTATAAGTAAACACATACAAACACATTTCCTCCTTTAGTACCAGATATGTCAGTATACTTTCAAAGTAACTAAATAATAAATGAAACAAATATCGAATACAGTTGTATGATATCAATATCCTTTATAACTAATTCTGAAAGTCATACTTGAAAGGCATCAAAACAGTTGAAATGCTCACCACTGACAGGGAGATGGCTGACTAGGTCATCATGTTCATCATCTGGAAGCTGAACGCCCAGATTGTGCAGGAAGTCGGACAGATTAGCAATGTCATTTTTTTCTTTGAAGGCACAGAAAAGTAAATGATAAAAATGTAATCTTATAATGATGTCAATGCAAGAAAATACAACACTTTACTGTTGTAGAGCATAAAAAGTGAGAGTTGTTCAACAGAATAAAGAGGCAAAGCAGAAACAGCTCTTCATAATTGATCTTAAGTGGGTCCTGGAAGATGACTACGGACAGCCAAAACTGAGTATTCTACAGAAACAGACACTAACTAATACATAAGGTCTATATAAATTTGGGTTGAAAGCAACAGTTTAATTTGAGAACAAATCTTAAACTAGTTACTATTAAAATATTCCACATATTGAGTTTTCTGTGGCTATTTTATAAGAACGCATTAACATGAACCTTCAATTTATCGTTCAGTTTTCTTTCGCCTATGAACCCAGTAATGGTATGGGTGGACCACAGGGACCTCTTATTCCTGACTTTTCCTGGAACGTCCATACTACTTTCTACAGTGACTGGATTAATTTACATTGCCACCCCCAGTCGGGCCACATTTTGTCATACATTTGAACCACACTGTTACCGTGTCAATCAAGAAGATACAGTAACCCAACTGGAGAGTGACAAAAGTGTAGGACACTGTCCTTTCCACTAAATTTTAAGAAAAGGGTTTTAATAAAAGCATTCAATTTATGTACATAGGTAATTACTTGGGTATTGTTATTTTTAAACAAATTATCATATAAATGTCTTAAATGTCCCTAATTCTACTTTAACTTGATAGATATTAATAGATAAAACCTATATGAACAGAAGCTCTTTAATATCGTTAATAATTCTTAATAATATAAGAGAGTCAGAGGCAGTCACTACTACAAATACATTAACATACAGCAATATATTATATGAAAGAGCTGAGACAAGATACTTTGAGAAATGGCTTTCTGAAGGAAAGTCACATTGGAAAGGTGCAAAAAAAGATTTTTTTAAAAAAGTTTTAGCCTTTGCTGGCCATTGAGGCTTTCTTATGAGTTTTTTCTTTTTTTTAATTTTATGCATCGTTTTGCTTGCATGAATGACTTGAGCCATCTCTCCAAGCCCCTACATCATTGTTTTCAATCACTTCAATAAATAGTAAAAATAATCAATTTAATGAAGAATTATTAAAAATAAATGTTGAAAAGGAAACTGAGGGAAGGAATCCTTTTAATACTCCTGATGGGGATATAAAGATATAAATTATTCTAAGCACTACAAGCCTCAGTATGGCATTTCTTTGGGGAAATACAAAACCTTTCATATGGTCCTGTTTTGTATTTCTAGGCATATATCCACAAGAATTAAAGTCAGATATAATTGAATACCAAGCTTACTGTTGGCACTCACAATAACCAAGTTACAAACCCAGTACGCAAGCCATGTGGCAGTGGCGCATGCCTTTAATCCCAGCACTCGGGAGGCAGAAGCAGACAGATCTCTGTGAGTTCAAGACCAGCCTGTTCTACAAGAGCTAGTTCCAGGACAGGCTCCAAAGCTACAGAGAAACTCTGTCTTGAAAAACAAAACAAACAAACAAACAAAAAAAAACAAAACAGCTGGGGCCCATTAACATAGAGAGAAAAGTGATTGATATGCACAATGGAGTTTTATTCGGCAAATAAGTTTTATTATAATTAATGAAGACTTTTTCTTAATTTGGAGTAAAATATATGAAGCTAGAGATCATGTTAAGCAAAATAAACTATACTCAGAAAAGTTAGTCTCACGTTTTCTCTCAAAGGTGGAGTTTATAGAACTTAAAAGGGGTACCAGGACATAAAAGAGAAAGGAGACATGTAGGGAGTAAGAGAGAAATCGGAAAATTAAAGACGGAAATGAGCACAGTGTCCTTATCAGTCTCATGTAGCAACGCGGCTCACCTTTGAACATCATCATGGCTCTGATCAATGTTTCCATATCCACTTCTTCATCATCTGTAAAGTAAATTTATATACATAGCACTAGTACTCAGAAAACAGCGTGTTGGGTCATCTGTGTTATTTTCTCTAGATATCCGCCTCTCTTCTAGTTCCAGGTCCCCATTTCTCTAACAGACAACCTAACAGCTCCTACCTCAGAGCACTGGAAAGCAAAGGAGTGCCAAACCCATGCGTGGCATATGGCACATCCTCCATAAACGATACTGATTTTAATGCTTTTGAAAGTGAGTGAAGCAGAGTTTACTCCTATTGTTCCAGTGTAAAGAAGAAAAGCAATACTAGACATCTTTCCCCTAAAGTCTAGATAGAATGATGATGATGATAATAACACATTGAAATGTGCAGTCTACTATGCTGAACTTTTAATCTAGTCTTTGGATGTAAGACATGACTTTGGGACTTATTATAGAGCCTTGAGGAATAGCTTTGCACAGAAAACAAAGGTATATGCTGAATATATGCAAAGAGAAAAATCAGCAATCTATCTTTCTGTTTTCACATTTGGAGGTCTATAAAAGTAAGTTATGGGGATATGAACTTCATTTGCAAAGTTGTAAGTGATGACAGCATAGACTAATATTACCCTCCAGACTCCATATATTCTTTATAATTACCTGTGTAGAAAGAAAACCTGAATTACATAGTGTGTTTGCCAGTTTTATGTCAACTTAACACATGCTAGAGTCATTTGGGAAGAGGGACTCTCAACTGAGAAAAGTCTCTATAAGAATGACTCATAGGCAAGTCTGTTGAGTATTTTCTTGATTAATGATGGATGTGGGGGAGCCTAGCTGATCCTATGGATGTAGGGTAGCGTAGCCAATCCCATGAATGTAGAGGAGCCTAGCCAATCCCTCTGTAGGTGGTGCCAACCTTGTGCAGGTTGCCTGGAGTTGTATAAAAATCAGGCCATCCAAGCCATACAGAGTAAGCCAGTAAGCAGCACCCTGCCATGGTTTCTGCTTCAGTTCCTACCTCCAGGTTTCTGACTTGAGTTCCTGCCCTTTCTTCTCTCAGCCATGGAACGTGACCTGGGAGTTGTAAGCAAAAACCAACTTTTCTTCCCTGTTATACATGGCTTTTGTGTTGGTGTTTTGTCATAGCAATAAAAATCCTAACTAAGAAATTGTTACGTGGAAGTGAATACTGTGACAGCCCTGGCAACGTTGATTAGGGGAGGATGTGGAAGGACTTGGAACTTTAAGGTAAAAAGCCACTGTGTGTTCAAAGATTATTGAGCTGTTGTGGAAATGTGAAGGATGGTGTTGAGACGGATGCAGATGACGGCAGCGTGGGTGATGTTTTAGAGGGGAATCTGAGAGCCCCTGAAAGACTCTATCAGGGCTGTTCAATATCTTGAACTAAGAATCAATAAAAACAATACCTAGGCAAAAACTTAACCAAACATAATAGAGACCATCACTGTGAGTGCATAGGCACTGAAGAGAGAAACCACGGAAGACACTAAAAGAGGGGAAGACCCCTCCATACTGATGGAGTAACCGAAATAACATTGTAAAAATGACCAGATAGACAACAGCAATCTACAGATTTAATGTTATCATTAAATCTGAAGAAAATGGACAAAACAACCTTAAAATATGTATGCATCCAAGAGACTTTGGATAGCCCAAAACAACCCTGAGCACAAAGAACAGTCATGGAGGTATCTTAATTCCTGACTTAAACATAAAACTATATTAACCAAAGCAGCATGGCACTGCCAAAAATACAGACACATGACAAACAGAATAAAAATAAGCCCAAGAAGCTAGATCCATTTGATTCTTAACATTGGTGCCAAAAACATAAATTGAAAAGGCTATACCATCTTTATCAAGTGGTGAGTGATTCAAGAGAAACTAGATATCAACATACAGAAGACTGTTCTTCATCTCTAACCCTATGCACAAATTAGTCCAAAATGGATCTAAGACATGAAGGTAAAAAAAAATGCTGAAAACTATTGGATGGATTTTGAAGAGCAGGATAGTCTTTGAAAAGCTGTGCTTTAATGGAATACTATACAGCGGAAAGAATAATGATATTTTGAAATTTTCAGGCATATAGATGAACCTAGAAAACATATTGAGTGAAGTAACCCAGACCCAGAAAGACAAATATAATATGTACTCACTCATAAGTGACTTTTAGACATAAAGCAAAGATAACCAGCCTACAGTTCACAACCCCAGAGAACCTAGACAATAAAGAGGACCCTAAGAGAGACATACATGGATCTAGTCTACATGGGAAGTAGAAAAAGACAAGATCTCCTGAGTAAACTGGAAACATGGGGATCATGGGAGAGGGTTAAAGGGCAGGGGAGAGGAAGAGAGGGGAGTGGAGAGAAATACATAGCTCAATAAAAACTATTTTTTTTAAAAAAGAAAGAAAACTGTGCTTTAAGTAGTAATTCCCACCTGGCAGTAGAATGAAGCAGTTACTTCAATCTATGTTCACACATCTCAGCCTATCAAACAGTAAGCTGCAAGACTTGTGATTCTGTAATGATTGCTTTTGAAAAGAGCTAGCATAGATGGCTTGCATTGGTATCAGAAACTCCCACAGGGAAACCTCAACAAATAAACTCCAGTGTGTTAACTACTATGAGTGCTTTAATCCCTCACCAAGAGCTGGTAGGGGTTCAAACAGAAACTTCTCCTCCTCATCGATGAGTCCTGTGTCCATGTTTCTCAAGGCCTCATCTACAGCAGTGACATCAGCCTCTTCTCCTAAGGAAATGTGACATGATAGAATTAAGGAACATAGGAAATCACATAAAAGTAGGTTGTATGTCCTACATACTGTTTGAAACAAGAAAACTGTCCCTGGGTCTATGTTACACTTTATGACATGAATCATCATAAAGTTAGATAAATATCTAGAGATAGAGTTCAGCTTAGCATGAGCAAGGTCCTGAGTTCAACCCCCAGAACTATGAAAACTTTAGGAAAAATTTAATTCAATATAATATCTTGGCTATATGGTTGTCTAATTCATTGTGACAATATAGAACAGCTAAGTCTAGAAGTATCTTTCCTTAAAGTCCCAAAGTTAGAGTCTTTATTTATTAAATGAACAATTATTCAAGTTATTTTTCATTAACATCTGTCATTTTTTTTAGTTCTATTTCACCAAGATCTAAAATATCCCAGATAGCCTGCTACTTCAAAACCATAGTGTCGCTGTTTTATCTGATGTAGAGCAGTCAATGGAAATGAAAGGTCTCATAAATAAGCATCTAGTGACAAATTTACATGTACAACCAACTATTAAACGAGTATTTAAGAAATAAAATGAGTGTTTTAAAAAGATGTGCTGTTTCTATGTTTTGCCAAAAGCATATATACATACATACATACACACACATATAAATGTATTTAAAGTATATATATTAAAATATATTAGAAGAATATTGTCACAGATGGTATTTTTGAAATTTCAGTTTTGGAGTTGGAGAGATGGCTTGGTGGTTACAAGCACTTTTTGCTCCTCCCAGAACCCACACAGTGGTTTACAGCCATCCATAACTTCAGTTTCCAGGGTGTTCGGTGCCCTATTTAGAAGTCAAGGGCACCAAGCACATGGATGTAGGCAAAACATTCATACATAAAATAAAATGAATAAATATAATAAAATATTTCAATTAGATTTTTATGCATTCTTACTCATAGCACAATTATAACACTGGCTAGAAATTAGGCAGTTACTTAATTAGTTAATTAATTAACTCTTCATTTACCTAAAGATTCATTAATATATCGTATTCCATTATTTTTGTCTTTATTAACAAATATAACATAAAAAACTGATGGGGAAAGCTCTGTTAACCAATCACCTTTAAAAAGTGGAGCCTAGTTAAGGCGTGGCTACCTGGAGCAGACCACAGCCTTGTGGTGATACATAGATGAATATAAATGTGTTAATTTAAGATAAAAGAGCTAGCTAGGAACATGCCTGAGTCATCTGCCAGTGTTGTAATATAGTTTCTGTGTGATTATTCAGGTCTGGGCAGCCGGGAACATAAGGAGCAGTCTCAGTTTACAGCAGAGGGAATGTAAAATGCATTGAATACAATCAGTGCTATCTAAGACTGAGTGGAACACTGGGACCACGGTGACATCAGGGCCAGGGATGCTGCCTAGGGCTATGTCTGGATCTGTGGCCCTACAGACAAGGTCTGTGTAGATATCCGTGGCTTCTGATACTGCCGAAAGCAATGTCCATGCCAGCATCCGAGCTGCTATCTGGGGCCATGCTGGTGTCCAAGGGACACACTGCCACAGGAACTATGCCTGAGTGACCTGCATTGCTACCTGGGGCCATGGTAACATCCAAGCCTGGGCTGCTGCTGGGAACCATGTCTGGGTGCGAGGCCCAAAAGCAGTCAGAGTCTGGAATGATGTCCATTCCAGATGCTCGTGTTACCAAACAGGGGGTTTTAGGAACCATGAGTGTTAAAATCAGAGGAGCTCCCTGAGCCAGCCCTGTTCCTCACTGGCCCTGGAATAGTTGGTCCTGCCCCTCACTGGACACTAAAGCAGGAGAGCTAGTGCTGCCCCCATGGGAGAGCTGATCCCACCACTCGGGGGAGATGGCCACCTCAATGACATGGGGCTAGGAGATCTGACTCTGCCCCTCACCTGAGGGGGTGGCCCAGACCAACCAGCTCAGCTAACACCCAGACCTACATCCTAGGCCGTGGGTTAATCCATCTGTGACCTGATGGAGTGTGAGAAGGGACTGATCCTACTGAACGATAACCACAGACAAGACCTCCATGACTTGGAGAAACAACAGGCTATCTGAGGAGTCTCAGACTAACGACTATTGCGATGAACATTTGCAGTTGGGCTGATGAAACAAAAGGGGTACACTGCATGACACAACGCAGCTCCTAATGCCACTGGGATGAACGAAGAAGAGGTGTTGCAAAGATGGAAGAGTGACGTGGGTTTTTGTTTATTTTGTTTGTCTTGCTTTGTTTTTAATTAATTTGGGGGTTATAAGGCAGGGGTGATGGGGAGGATATAGAGGGTCTGGGAAGTGAGTGATAAGACTGGGGTGCATGACGTGAAATTTTCAAAGAACCAATTAAGGATTTTTTTTTTTAAAAAAAAGACTGGCATGGAAAATACAATAAACACTGGAATGTTAGTTCAAAACCTGGCAGACTATAAACAAACAGTACAGGGAAGATCTGAAAAAACTATCAGCTATGCTCTCTGGCAAAAGAACACACAGTTTTTCAAGTACACAGAGGGGGAAAAAAACATATTAAGGGCCATAAAACAAATACCAACAAATTGAAAATTTCAATAAACATATTGAAGCTATACACCATACATTCCATGACTATAACAAAATTAAATGAAAATAAATATTAAAACAATTTAAAAATCAGGAAACCACATAATACACATCCAAATGGTCCATGGGTCAACAAGAAAATTATTAGAAAAGAAAATGTCCCAAGCATATATGTGAAAACTCAACATTCATTATACACAATAACTTGAACAATTGTTCAATGACAGGTTAATGCACTTAAAGTAGAAATAGAAGTAAAATATAGTATAAATATAGTAAGTAAAATATAAAATAAAAGTAACAGTGGCTGCACATTAAATTTAGACTGGCCATTCTTAGTAGCTGAGACATAAATTCTACCTCGAGCTAACCATTATCTGTACAAAGAAGTACACTGTAATAGAGACTGCTTGTTTGCTTCCCTGCCGCCCAGACCCGAATAATCACACAGAAACTATATTAATTACAATACTGTTTGACTGATGTCTCGGGCTATTTTTGGCTAGCTCTTATATTTTAAAGTAACACTTCTATCAATTTATGTATCACCACAAGGCTGTGGCTGACCAGTAGATGTCTTTCTCCATCGGCAGCTACATGGTGTCTCCTTGACTCCGCCTACTCTCTCTGTTTATCTCTTCCAGCCTGGCTATACTCTACCCTGCCATAGGCCAAAGTAACTTTTTTCATTACCAGTAAGAGCAACTCATACACAGAAAGACATACCACATTGGTACACTGGGATTTTTGGAGAGAAAATATTTTCTGTTGTTAAGTTTCAAGACATTTTTATTTACCACTAATAACATTAAGACAATATTTTCAGGGAATAAAATAATATTTTACCTTGTTGTTGATAATATTTCTAAAAAGTAGATGAGGAGCCGAGTGGGGGGCTGGTTCAGTGATCAAGATTGCTCTCTGTTCTTGCAAAAGACCAAACTTCGGTCTCCAACATCCATGTTAGACAACTTCAAACTACCTGTAACTTCAGTTCCAAGGGATTTGACACCCTCTTCTGGCCTCCACAGATGCCTACGTGTGCACATACACACACACATGCACAAGTGTACACGTGCATGCACACACACATACACACACTAAAATAGATGAAGCATATTACTAATTCCCCCAAAGAAGGCATTTCCACAAAAAAAATCTCCATAATGATTTTTGGTTCCTCAAATTCATGTCTATCCAAAGTCATGAGCAATAACCAAATAAGTAAGCCTTAAGCCCCAAGAAGCAATGTGCAAGGGGATATAATTGCAGCTTAAAGTCAAAATTAGTCATCCCACTGTTCTTTCCAGTACTGCAGGCATGAGAAACAGGAGCTCATCAGAAAATACCATGAACACTGAAAGAGTAAGATAAAATCCTTAACACACTGAATAGTACCGTCAAAAATTTTACCAGACTGAGTTTACTTCCTGGGGGAAAAAATGAGGCTCATACACAAAAATAACTGAAGAAATCAAAGTTAAAATATCAAAAGAAAAAATTCAAACAAAAAATTGTCTTAATATCAACAATAAAACTTTTCTCTTGTTTCTTAGTGAAGAACTATAAAGTAGCATTAAGAACTTGTGATTTATCATATGCTAACATGTTTATTAAGTACACTTTGGTTACAACCAAGTAATTTAATCCTAGGCGCTGGTTCATTCACTTTAACTAATGTTACTTTTACCTTTACGAGGCCGTTAGTGGAAAACTGCAGTCATCCAGACTCCGGCTCCCAGACTAGAAGAAGAGCTAACTACCAGCCCGTTATCTGGTCTTTTTCAGTTGTGTACAGATTAAACGTGCACGGCACAAAGTCATTAGAAATTAAGCCTTTCCATTGGGCCTTTCATGGTGTTAACCCTGAAAAGGCCCTCTGAGGTTTGTTTTTTTTTTTTTATCTCCATTCAATGAAAAAATAAAAACCTTACTTTCAGAGGCAGATGAGAGCTGTGACTTGATCAAATGACTCAGAAGCTCTTCTAAATTCAATGTTCCATCCTCTGAAAGAAATAATGTCAGAGAACAAGGGGAAAGTCAATGATAAGATAAAGCAAACAGGCAACTCTAGTAACTGCTCCATTGGAAAATACTTTATAGGCGTGGCTTTGAACTCTGGAGATACAATCAGTCAGAAAGACAGACTCGCTGTACCACTTAGACACCCACTGGCCCTGCATGTCCTGCTTTGCAAAGCACTGCTGAAAAGAATTAGAGCGTGGATAACAGTAACTAGAATCTCATTAGGAGGTAGGTAGAAAATAGCCCAGGCTAACCCACTCCACGGACTTGGAAAGTCCAGGAAGACTCACATTACCGAGTAAAGGTACTTAGGAA